ATAAAAGAAACAAATGAAGATGATACCTAATTACATTAGAAAAATTGATTTGGTAAATAATGTAAAAACCTTAATGTAAATGATTAGGCAATTTCTTCACATCTGTGGATATTACACACTGAGGCTGTGTTGTACTTCATAGTCATTGATGTTTCCCACATCCTAGATTGTGGCAGAAAGGATAGTATACTTTAAAATACTTGTTATCGAGGGGCAAATTTGCTTTATAACATTATCTCGTGTGTCTAGCTAAATGAGAGGTTGATAAAAGTATAAGTTTTATTTAACTATTTAGGCTTTATAAACAGATCAGTGAAAACTGGATAGGCCAGGTTTCACTCCTATTCGATACTGATAAAGAACAATTAAAACTTTGCCAAAAAACTTGATTTTTAAAAGTAAAATAGATTCTAAAAAAGAAAACCACAATAATTGGTTGTTGTTCTGTTCCTAAGAAGAAAGGTCAACCATAAGGTGGCGAGACTTGAGAAGATGGCCAGGAATCAATTCGTGTGATCAGGATGATCAATAAACATTACCAACAATGAGGAACATTCAGTTTTAACTTATTTTTTCTTATGTGCTGTGATTTTAGTGTTTTGTGGTTAACAAATTATTTTCATTATTTGAGTGGAGTAATTCAATGAAAGAGGATCATTTCTGCAGGAGTAGAGATCAGATGGCCAAGGGGCGCAGAGTGTCTGGAACTTACACATATTTACCATTGCCAAAGTATTAATTATTAATTATGCCAATGTGATTAATATAGGTGATACATATATCCCATTAGGTGAATTTTTTGGAATACCCAATTAGAATGAAGTTACAAATTAGCTTTTAAAACACTATAAAAAACTGAATAGCTTGATATCTTTTAGGTTTTCATCGTACAGTTCAAAAATTTCTTAATTTATTGTGAATTTCAAAATGCCACCTACATTTACAATCTGTTTCAGAGCCAAATAAAATAATTTTAATATTGTTAGTATAGTAAAACCATTTTCTTCTTTTATTAATTTATCAAATATGACTTAGGTACAGCTAGGTGTGGTGGCACACACCTGTAATCACAGAGGTTGGGAGGCTAAGGCAAGGGAGGATTGTGAGTTTACATATATATATGTAAATTAAATAAATTAACATATATAAAAGTTTTATAGCAATGCATAAAATATGTAAGCTATTATTATTATTAATAACCAAGAATTAATGAAGAATTCATGTAGCCTAATAACTTCCATTTACCAATAGGGCATAAAAAGATAGATGAATAAAGTGATTAAAATGAATTTGGAATAAGAATCTAAGGAGTATATAGAAACTTGGGAATGGGGTAATGAATGTCCTCAAGACTTCTTATTGGTTATTTAAAATACAGTAATGTGAGCAATATAATTAAGTCTTTAGGGTATTATTCTTGAAGTTTCAAAAAGTTTTGAATATGTTTCCCCTGAAGCAATTTAAAATTTTGGCTTAGAAAATTGCAGAAGTCCCTAAGAGCATGAAATATTTAAATTGCCTTCCTGTGCCTAAAAAGATTCTTTAGAGGATTTACTGGGCCTTCACCATGTGCCCCATTCTCAGACTGAACTAGTGAATATTTGTTCTCCCTTCCCTTTTGAACTAGTGAAATTAAACTATACTTCCTTTGGAAACACATTTGACTGTAATGTACAGAAAATTTTGAAATAATTTGGAAATGGTAACTTTGTCATCAATATTTTCCAAATTCTATGTCCTGTGACATTTGGCTCTCCAAAGGTAACACTTTTTTTTTTTTTTAGAAACCCATCAGCCTCATAGAAAATTTTGTAGACTAGCCTGAAAATCAAAGATCAAGGAAAAATTTAACTATGTGTGGCAGCCTGACCAGGTAAGACTATCCCTTTAGAGATAATTGCTGAAAAAATACTAATAACTAACAAATAAAAGAGTCAGTCTTTATGAACTGAGTTGAAAGAACACATATGTTGTGAGGCTGGATTATTTTCTACTAGAAATAGTGTGTAGGGAATAGGAATAAAGATTCCAAGAGAAAGGTCTTAAATAATAGGTAGAAAATTGGGGGAAAAAGGAAAAACAACCAAAAGAATAATTGTAAATCCAAAGCAATATGAACTTCAAAAACAGATGGTTGCTTAGGTCTAATGAGGAATAAAGATTTATTTGGTCAGAATGTATTTTCTACTCCTTGCTTCACTACAAGTGTCTACACTTCAAATAGTATCATTTTCTTTGATTCTATGAGGTCACAATAGTCTGCAGATCTGAACTCTTGATCAAAATATAAAGCAGTTTGTTTTCACCAAGGTTTGATTTTGTAGCTTTTTACCTCTTAGCACCAATTCAGCTTTGTTGGGTTCACTTTAGCAAATGTTTGTCCATAGTAACCATGAGTCAATGTTTTACATTGTTCCTGTCCTAGAACCTTTACATGGGCAGTTTGTTTGGAATGTGTCATTTCTTGTTCTCGAATACATCATTGGATTTGTGAAAAAAGAAAATGAAGAGAAACAATGAGTCATTATCTAACAGGAAGAAATTCTGACTTATGTTTGCATAAATATTTGGAAGCTTGTTTTGAGTATTTCATTTTGTTGTTGTTAGTAATGCATTTCTATGATAATTTTAGATATTATATTTGTACTACACATACAATTAGATTTTAGATGAATGAATTGCAATAGTCTTTATTTTCAAATGTCAGTCTGTGAGTTCCTTGTTTCAAACTGCCATGGACTTTTGTTATAATAGTATAAGATTATTCATTGCAAAGTGAGTAAACTTTTGCTATAGTGTGCATCCATCTCAAATCATAGATGTGATGAAAATAGTAGGTTGGATTGGTTAAGGAGAGATGCCTGGTAAAGCCTAACTGATAAATAATATTTGAAGATACTCTTGTAGAAGGATGATGGAAGAACAAGTCACCAGAAG